CGTGGACATGCGCTATGATAATTCTCTCAAAAAGCTTCCCCAGGATCGAGGTAAGACTAACTGGCCTATAGTTTTCTGAGTCCTTCTTCCTTCCTTTTTTGAAAATGGGAACCACATTGGCCCTTTTCCAGTCCTCTGGCACCACACCAGAGCACCACGAGTGCTCGTAAAGCTGTGCCAGGGGTCCCTTAATGACCTCTGCTAATTCCCTCAGCACTTTGGGGTGGAGATCGTCCGGACCAGCTGATTTAAATATGTCCAGTCCCTCCAGAAGTTCCCTGACTAGATCCTCACTGACCCTAGGTCTGGGTGCGCCTCCCCTGAGGCCTACGGAGGTCCTGGTGGGGGGGTGACCCGGTCCCTGCTCAGGAAAATGGAGGCAAAGAAGTTGTTACATAGATTAGCTTTGTCATCTGGTGCGATGACCAGATTTCCTAGCATGTCTTGCAGAGGCCCCATGTTACTGGGTACCTTCTTTTTACCCGCTATGTATTTAAAAAAGGACTTCTTGTTGTCCTAGACCTGGGTTGCTAGTTCCAGTTCCATCTCTGCCTTGGCCTTCCTGACTGCCCCCCTGAAGCCCTGAGCAACCACGGTATAGTCCTCACTGGTGATGGCTTCTCCCTTCCATTGGGTGTACACCTCCCTTTTAGCCAGGAGACGTTCCTGTGTGCTTTTGGTGAGCCATGGGGGCTTTTGCGCCCTCTTGCCCCTTTTGATCTGCATTGGGATTACCTCCCTTTGGGCTTGGAGGATCGTCTCCTTAAGGAATGACCGCTTTTCTTGGACCCCAACTCCTCTTCTCTCTGGGACCTGAGTGCCCCTGACTATTCTCCTTAGCTCATTGAAATCTTCCCTCCTGAAGTCCAGGGCTGCTGCCTTGCTGCAGGCCTTTGCCACCTTGCACTGGATGGTGAATTCCAGCAGGTGATGATCTAGCTCTTCCTCTTGGTTCGGTAGTTTGTAGTAGACCCCCATCATTAAGTCCCTTTCCCCTTGGGTTCCTTGTAGTCTAACCCAGAGCACTTCAGTCTGCCCCTCCTCTGACCCAGTGCTACTCATTGAGGAGGTGTATTCCTCCTTGACGTAGAGCGCCACACCCCCACCTCTCCTCCCTGTCCTGTCCTTCCTGTACAGCCTATAACCCTTGATATTCACCGCTCAGTCATGCGTTGGGTTCCACCATGTTTCTGTGAGCCCCACAATGTCTGGGTTGGTGTCAGCTAGCAGGAGGGTAAGTTCCTCCTGCTTGTTCCCCATACTATGAGCATTTGTGTAGAGGCATTTGAAGCCTCCTGAAGATGTGTTTACTGGCCCCTTACTCTCAGTACTTCCCTGGCCCCTGTTGCTTACCTGGGTATTTGTACTGCTCGTCGTTGGTCTAGGCTGGGCTGCTCTTGTGGGTGATGCTTGGATTAGTGGTCCAAGGCTTCCTCTGCCCTCATCCTCCCCTTCCCCCGATGAGCCTAGTTTAAAACTCACCAGAGGAGATCCGCCAACCTAGAAGAGAACACACGCTTACCTTTACGGGAAAGGTGAAGCCCATCCCACCTGAGCATGTCTCTCGTCTTGATGTGCACGTTGTTGTCTAGGAAGCCAAAGCCCACCTCGAGACACCATTCCTGAAGCCGCCAGTTGGTCTCCCTGATGTAGGTCTCGTGTCATCTTCCACATCTGCTCACTGGTAGGACAGAAGAGAATACCACCAGTGCCCTGTCTCCCTCAGCACCCCCCCGGAGCATGGTAGTCTGCCATCAGGTGATCAGGGGTTCTCCTGGCTGCATCATTGGTACCCACATGGATTAGGACCATGGGGTAATAATCAGTGGGCTGGATCAAGGCCTGGATCATCCCCATCATGGGGATGTTCCTTGGCTAGTTGACCTATAAGATGTTGTAGTTGACCTACAATATATATTTTTCCCACACAATGCATTGCTATTGCAGATTTTTGTTCTGTCACGTGTCTGTCTCGATTCTATAGAAGAGGTTGAAGCAGGTGGGGCTTTCAGGAACCTGGGAGGTTAGATTGACGCAACGGTACTTAGGTCAGGCCAGTTTGATTTAGAAGCTCCAACTGACACTTACACAATGTTATCTGTGAATGTTATGTGGTGATAGCAGGGATCCAGGTTTTCCATTTGCCATGGTAAAATGTGGTAAAACCTGGATTTTCTCCTTTTAAGGGGAAAACCGTGGGAAATAGTGGGTTTCCCCATGCAAGCTTGTAGAATTCCAACCTACAAGGGGCTGGGGGGAGTGGGAGGAGGGAGGTCAGGCAGGGGGGTGCCATGTGCATGTGCGCACGTACACATACATATGGCTGCAGGCAGCCTGGAGAGTAGCTCCTGCAGGTAAGTCAGGGTGGGGGGATTTGAAACCCCCATAGTGAGGTGGGGAGGGAGTTGGGCAGGGCTGGGGTGGGACTGCTGCCCAGCCGGGGAGGTGCAGGGTCTTGGGGCCTGGGTCTGGAACGCACGCTGCAGGGCCTGGGCAGGGAGTGAGACAGAGCTGTGGGAGGCTTGTTGGGGGCCTGCAGCAGTGGGGTTGACTCCCTGCCTCTGTGCATACTGCTGGGGCAGCATGGGGGGCATATGCCCCCCAGATTTGTGTGTGGGGCAGGGGAAGGCTTCCTGCTGCAGGCTCAGCCTCCCTGCCCCACCACCATGCCCCCAGGGCATCTGGCCCAGCAGGCAGGACCCAGTACAGCAGGGCAGAGCAGGGCCAGGTGGGGAAGCTCAATGCCACCACTGTGAGCCCTGAAATGCCATAGTGAGGTGCACTCTGCCCAGCTGGCAGCAGTGGCACAGAGGGCACCTCACCATAATGGCGTGGGGCTTGCAGTGGCAGTGCCCAGCCCCGCTCTGCCCTGACACACTGGACCCTGCTTGCTGGGCCACAGAGGCCCCAGGGGAAGGGCAGCAGATCAGGAAGCCTGAAGTGGGCAGCCCACATATGCCCCTGCCCCATGCACAAATCTGGGAGGCATGCGTCTCCCATGCCCCACCCCAGGAGTGTGCACAGTGGTGGGGAGCCAGCCTCCCCCATACCGGAACATGCAGCAGGCAGCCTGTATCTGCCACCCCCTCGATCTGCTCCGGTCATGCCACCCACAGGGGAGGGGGAGCCGGGCTCCACACTCCAGGACTCAGGCGCCACTGTGCGGGGCAGGGGCTGTGGATCTGGGTCCTTGGCCCTGTAGCCATGGCAGCTGGGGGCCCCTCCGGCAGGGCTGGGGGTAGCTGGGGGCTGCAGGTGGAGTAAGGGGCACCGGCAGAGGTGTGTGTGTGTGTGTGGGGGGGGGGACTGTTGGTTGGGAGTGATGGATTTTGTGGGTTTTAATCAAAGAACCTGCAACTTTTAAACAGAGAAAACTAGGATCCCTGATTTATGTGGTCTGCTCAATCCACTTTTGGATCCACTACCTAACATGATTCCAGCAGCAAAATCTGTTGCTGGCTGATAGTATTACAATTGTGAAATGTGTAAGGTAGCTTTTCCTAGAAAATGTCCAAGGTTGTAAAACTTGATGGTGGTAAAGATAAGGGAAGTACTTGTTACAATAAAACTTTCTTTGGAAAGAAGCACAGGAACACTGCTGTTTGTAACAGTTCTGTTTTTACTGCTGCAGAAAATTTTTACTGCTGCATAAATGTTTCTGTATTTGTAAATACAATTATTTGCTTATTTTTCATATAAACAGTAGAATAGACCTTGTTTAATCCTGAAATCTAAATATATATCCCTTGTATAAATTCTGTCTAAGATTTTTTTCCCCAGTTCCCAGCACACAGGAATAAAAGGTATTGATGGTGCCAAACCTATCCTTGTTGTAGCTCCATTGACTTTGCTGGAATTACACCTGGATGAATATTACCCAGTCTCTGTACATTTTATAAACATGACAGAAAAACTATTTTTGTATAATATTATAACCTAATGTTCTAACCTAACTGCATGTTTAGATTATTTGAATAACACACATCATAAAATCTACAGAACGAAGGTGAGAGTATATCCCGTCAAAAATAAATTGTAAGTATATCTAATGAATGAGGCAACTCTCAGAGCCAATTTATTTGTAGTAATTTGGTGGCAAAAAAATGCAGCTGATAATGATGCTAGTAATGACACACATTAGTATGAGTAATACTTGAAATGAGAAAATTAAATAATACCCCTTTTGTACTAATTGGGTCATTATGAAAATTTCCTTGGAGTCAGCTATTGAATTAATAGTAGTCATTTGGTGGATTGTGTTTCTCCTGTGAGTATCACAGCCTTGCTTTCCCATTAAACAGCAGTTGACGTGTCCTTATATACAGCTGCACTGTGCATCTTCATTTCCCAAGTAACTCACCTATCTGCCTGGCTGTGTAAAAGGGCTTCTCATCTCAGTAGCTGAGCCCTTCACAAACCTTAATGCATTTTTTCCTCAGAACACTTTGGTAAGATAGAGATATAATACCAGCCCTTCACAAATAGGGGACTGAGGTGCTGAGGAGTTCAGTGTTTTGATCCAGGTGTCACAGGTGGTCACTGGAAGCGCTGGTAACTGGCCTCAGACTGTATCTCAGTTTGCTGCTGTTGTCGCTCCACCACCAACCTGTCAAGATAAGGGATCACATGCACTAATGTACTGTGTTATACCTCTGCAACTACAAAAGTTATTCTTACCATGACCTGATGCTAATGAACATGAGGACTTCAATCATTTTGGAATCTCACTCATTTCTTTCACCTGCATAGTGCTTTTATTCCAAATTATGCCAAAGTATGTTACCAATTATAGACCTATCATTTTCAAAATTGCTTCCAAACTTGCTAGCATAGATTTTGTGTGGTATGACTTTGTGTCTGCATACATTTGTGCATGCCAACTATAGTCAGACAAGGTTCTGGGTAGATGTTTTTTATTAGAACAACTAAACCTGCCAACTATAGTAGCATTTGTAGGTGCATGTAGCTCAGTTACACATGCAGTTACCAGGTTTCCCTGGGCAATAGGCAAACGCCTATTTAAGGAGTAAAACTGAAAGCTAAAGCAATGCACTTATGCCATATGAAGAAAGGGTGTGCCTAAGGTCTCAACAGGCATTTCTCTCTATACCTGAAAAGAGCAGAGATGGTGATCTGGAAAGTTCGTGGTTACAACCCGGTGGTACTTGAAGATGGTCGAGTGACCCTATAGATGAATGAATGAGTATGAAATAAAACTCCAATTGTTAGGGGCTACCCTTCCTCTTCCCCCTCTCCTCCTTCCCGCCTCTTCTCCATCCCCGTAACATTCTTGGCCTCAAATGGCACCAAAGTCTTCATTGTCAATAGAATCCCCTGCAGGTGCACTGTTACATTATGATCCGCATCGATAGGAATGGTTTCTTCATAGACAACAAAAATGAGAGCATTTGAGGAGGTAAAAACTCTGAGGGAGCAGAGAAATATGTGTTCACTCAGGGGAGGCCTAAAGGAGTTGTCTTCCTTTGCCAATAGTATTAATACAGAATGTTCCCTTTACAGTACACTGGGCTCATTATGGTTCACCCAGCCCCACCTCTGCGAGCATCTTTCAGGCTGAGTCTTTGTCTTTTCAAAGGCAGGGAACCATCACTGCTCATTCAGCTTTCTAATGCCCTGCCTTGAGTGTCTGATGCCCCCTGCTGCTCTTTCATGCAACTGGGGGGATGCCAAGCTGTAATAGCCTTGAAGCTTTCCTGAGAGGTGCAAATCTTTTCTTCTGTCTTTACCAACATCTTTTAGTTTGGAGGCTCCCTTTTACAAATCCCTCTAAGTTGTCAAACTTTCAGTGGGAGGAGGCGGCAGAAAAAATGGGAGATGCGATAGTTGTTGATAAGGTTCCCATAACAAGAACTATTTAAAACCTTGTGATTTGGCAAAACAGATTAGTCCAGCTAACAGCACAAAAGATGATAAATTGCAGGTCAGAGCATTCATTCTACTAATTTAAAATTGATTAAGCTTTCAGGTAGGGCAGGCAGTCGCAGGTTTGTGCTGCTTTTGTGTTCATGACAATAGTTAATGAGCTGCTGACGTCGCAAAGAGAACTGGAAAAATATTCAGTTTAGAAGCTGTTCGGCCTGTTTGACAGGTGTGGTCTTTTTCTTTTATTACTCGTCATTTGCCTGAAATCAAGAGCTGTGTGTTACCCTGAAGTCCTTCTGGATACAGATCCAATTGACTCATTTCAGAGGGCGTTCCATCCCTGACATGAGCACAGGTCAGGTCTATAATACAAATGTTGCTCCTGCTGCTCATAGCTTCACCAGAATTAAGATTAAGGGAGTTAGCTGCTGAGCACTGGCAATTTAGTCACTCCACATGTTTACCTCAAAGAGAGGTTAATTGGGTAGTGTGTTCTTCACCGGTTCACCTGAGGAGAGGTAGCAAATGTTCAGCAGCAGATTAACTCTATTTATTCACTAAGCCATGAAGGATGTAACTGGGAGAACTGTCTGACCGCTGCTTGGAGCCCACAGGCCGTTCTATGCAGCCGTCATGGCTACGTTCTGTAAACCTCTGCAGGAGCCCTGTCTCATCACTTGCAGCAAGACAAGATGCAAGATTGCTGGTGTAGGTTTTCATGCTGATAGCATGAAAAGTGAGTGGCTTTTCAAGATTTGATTAGCTGGATGGAGACCAGGTTTCCAGTGAATAAACGGCAAATGTGTAGCTACAGGGTGGAGAGAATTGTCTCTGCAGGACTGTAGTATGGGAAGGCCTTGCATTTCCTCTAGCATATCACCCTTCTGCACCTGGGAGAAAACCGAGGAAGGCATTAACCAGTAGCATAACTAGAGGTGGGCAAGAGGGGCTCCCACTCTGGGCGCCAAGTTGGGGGACCCAGAATTGGTCCCCCTCCAAGAAGTATTTCCACAGGTGGGAGCAGTTTCTTGGATAACTAACATCTCTGTGCAGTAGCTATGGAGCCAAAAGCACATTTGACATTGTACAAACATTTATCTTGATTTCAATATGGTCCCACACAACATTCTCATAAGTAAGCTCTAATTCAGCTCTCATAAGATGACTTAATGCACATCGTAAGTGGAATCTAACTATTTATCTCTTCCATTGATAAGTCTGTGGTTGAGCCTGGACACTGCTTCCACTCTTAAGGTTCTCTCCTAAGCTTATAGAACCCCCCCCCCAAAAAAAAATCTCTGTGAAAGTCTTGGTCTCTACAGTGTTTATACTGTCCGGTGAATTAGCACACCATCTGTATAATTAGAGCTGAACATTTTGCTGAGCCACTGAGTGATTACAGTATTATTCTGTAATAGCCTGCGGCTATAGGCTTCAGATCTCCTGATGAATTCTGATTCTCTTCTGTCCATAAACAACTTTCCAATCTGCTTTACGGGAAAGCAGCTTTTTGAAGTTTTGTGAATTTAGGAATTTTGCTCAGTCTTACAGGAAAGATTTTATGTGTTCCCAATAGGCTTGTGAGTATAATAAAGAAAAGAGACCTTTTGTGTTGATTTTACTGAAAAGTGACCTCCAAAGATGCTGATAACTACTCATGGAAATCCAGAACAGATGATATGATGTTTCCAAGAGAAAAGTTGATGGTAAAGTATATTCTTCACATTTATTTTATGCAGACATACTTGAGTTCTGTGTTGTATCTTGATTTCAGTATGGTCCCACATGACATTCTCATAAGTAAACTGGGGAAAGAAAGTCTAGATGAAATCACTATTAGGTGGGTGCACAAGTGGTTGCAGAATATCACACAGAGAAGTTCTCAGTGATTCACTGTCAAACTTGGAGAGTGCAGAGCTCTGTCCTGGACCTAGTTCCATCAGTATTTTGATTGATGATTTAGATAATGGTATATAGGATGCACTAAAAGAGTTTGCAGGTGTGTAACAGGGAACCCAAATCCTGTTACTCGGGCATAGCAGGAGGGGAGGTGAAGGAACTGTAACTGGGAGCCAAAGTCTCCTATCACTTTAAGACAGTGGTCTCCAGCCTTTTTAAGCAGGAGATCATCTTTGGCAGTTAAAAGCAACTCAAGATCTACCATGTGCCGCCGTCTCCCCCTGCTCCCATCAGGTAAGTCTGTGGGGAGGGAAGGGGGGGGGCAGATTGAGGTAGAGGGAGAAAAATTATTTGGGGGGCACATGTCCCCAGCAGATAAGTCTCACCTGGCTGGGGCTCCACTCAGTTTACCCCTGCTCCTGCTTCTGCAGCACTGTCCCTCACCATGGGGGCCTCGATCTAGCCCCTGCCCCTTTCCTCCCCTAAGGACTGACCTGCTGGGCTGGGACATGCGCGTCCATACCTGCGGGCACTCAGCCCCCCGACCCCAACCTGGGATTGACTCCAAGAGGCTCCGAGATCTACCGGTGGATCGAGTCCCACCGGTTAGTGACTACTGTGTTAAGAGAAGACAGCAAGCTAAGTTGGCTGTGTGAAGCCCCAGCAGCAGGACTGGAGGCTGGCCCTTAATAAAGAGGGTAAGACCCCTGTGTGTGGCTGGCAAAGGCCACATGACAGAAAGGGGGTGGGGCTTCAAGGCATATAAACCCGGGCTTGAGCCAGAGGAGGCAGTCAGACCCTGTATGCCATGGGGAGAGGCACTCTCCAGGGCAGCTGACTATAGAAAGCAGTGCACAGGGATACCCAAGGTACCCACAAGGGTGAGAGTGTGCCTAGCACTGGGACTTATAGCTTGTGGTAGGTACTGACTGACAGCAAGGAAGAACTCTGTGAAAGCAGTTTGCTTATATTTCTGTTGTGCTGGTGTCTACGCTTGTGTACATGTGCTGAGACCCAGAGGACTGGAAGTACCTGTAGGGGTGGAGGAGGCCATGTGCAGGGTACCTGGCAGGTATCCTCTGCAGCAAGGCTGCGACCCAGACTGCTGGGGCTGAAGTCAGTGGATCTGGACTAAGGGACTTCAGCTGAAGGAAAAGGGGCTAAGGCTGAATAGATTGAAGCCCAGACAAGGGTAGGGACCTGAGTGGCCCAGTGTTAGTCAGGGGCAAAAAAGAGACAGACTCTGCATGTCAGGGTCAGAGCCCCAAGTCAACCCCACAGAGTAGTAAAGGAAGGACTAGGAAGAGCACCTAGGACTCACTAACCTCTGAAGGGCAGCCTCTGCTTTTCACTAGCAATATCAACGCATGGTAGGTGAAACATCAGGACACCTGAGAGGTGGGAGCAAAGGCTGGACAGGACTAAGGCATCCATCAAGGCGGGGGGGGTGTGGTAGAGGGGGTACGGCAGCCCTACGGCACATCCAGTCACAAGATGATACCACACAAGAAGTATTTTGGAGGACAGGATCAGAATTCAAAACTGTTCTTGATAATTTGGAGAGAGTCCAAAATCACCAAGAATAAATTCAGAATAGACAAGTGCAAGGTGCTGTGCAAAAAAGGAGAAATACAAAAGAGGGGACAGTGAGCTGGCATGGTGTGACAGAAAAGAATTGGGGGATTATGGCAGAGCACAAATTTAAATATGTCATCAATGTGGTGTTGCTGCAAAAAGGCAGCTCTTTTTCTTGGAGGGATTAACAAAACTGTTGTCTCAAGATCCTGGTGGGAGGGTGACAACTGTACTGTTGTACTTGATGTTGCTGAAGGCTCAGCTACAATAATGAATCTGGACTTCAGGCACTCCACTTTAAGCAAGAAGTGAGATGAACTGAAAGAATCCAGTAAGAGAGCAACAGGAATGGTAAAAGACTTATAACGCCTGTAGAAGGAGAAGGTGGAAGAACTGGATTTGCTGAGTCTAGAAATGAAAAGATAAAAGGGTGACATAAGAGGCTGAATATATAAAAGATTGCTTGTAAGAGGATGGTGATTAATTGCTCTCCACGTTTACTTGTGACAACAGAAAGAAGAAATCTACTTAACTTTCAGCAAAGATGAAGGAGGCCATGTGGGAAAGACTTTGTAACTATAACAATTATTAAGCACTGGAACAGGATCCATGGGGAAGTTAATGGAAACCTGTTCGTTAGAGGTTTTTAAGAATAGATTAGATAAATATCTGTCAGGGGTGGTGTAGACATGCTCAGTGATTTCATGAGGCACCTTCCAGCTCTCCATTTTCATAAGTTGATTCTTTGAATTACCACTGCAGATACCTGCCTGATGAATGAAATTTCCCCCACCGCCCTAGGCATATTCTATTCTATTCTATTTTTGCAGGATCAAACAGGAGAAAAATAGGCTGGTAGAAATTTCATGGGAGCTCAGAGCCACAGCTCCTGAATTCTGTGTCTAGTTACATTGATCTTTGCGCCAGTCATTCCACCTCTTTTGCTACTTCACTTTCCTCATCTGCCAAATAGAGTATGAACTGCTTTTCAAGGGTTAATGCAGGGCTATCCAGCTGGTAGCTTGTGGGTTAACTTGTAGCCTGTGAGCCCTGTAGCTGCCATCCCAAAGCTCAGAGGAGGAGGAGGGTGCAGGTTGTGCATCATCAATGGTGATACTGTGGTGAGCCACCAGCCACAGGTCATGGGGAGGTTCACAGAGGGGCTGTCTGGTGTATGGCTTTGGGGGCTGAAGTTGGACGGCCCTGAGTAAAAGGCTACATGAACTATCCTTTCTGAAGCAGGCTGAGCTTTGGATGAAGGATGCTAAATATCTGAAAAGTATTACTGCATTGCTATCAGGAAGACCACATGAGGGATAAACCATCCCGGTTTAAGTGTTAATATTTATGGTTAGCAACAGAAACAATATCTCTGGAAAAACTGGAGAAAGGCTCATGGATTTATGCTATATATAAAGTTTGCCCTACTTGTTCAAATCCCTTTTAAATCACTCTAATAGCAACTGCTCTAGAGCAAGAAACACTCCCTTGCAGCTCTGTATCAAGGCCAGCATTAAAATAGACAGGCATGATTGGTTATCAAGGGCCATTAGTAGCAGCTGATGTTTTAATGAAAAACCAAGCTCTGGCTCTTTGTTCCATGTCACTTTTTTTGTCCTAAGGAAAAAGCATTATGAAAATAGGTGCTATGTAATTACTAGTACAAAATGTAGAAATATTAGTTATTCATATTTTTTAAATACAGCTAAAGGCTCCTAGTCTATAAATTAAACATCACCTCAAAACCATAAACCACGCACTGTATGCTATATATGCACATCCACCTCAGTCAACATTCTCCTCAAGAGCTTTTCTGAACAGAATGAATAACCAGGAACAACGGTCACAAGCTGGCGGAGGGAAGGTTTAAGTTGGACATCAGGAGGCGCTACTTCATGGTCAGGGCAGCTAGAGTCTGGAACCAGCTTCCAAGTGAGGTGGGGCAGGCTCCCACCCTGGGGGGGTTTAAGAGGCGGTTGGACGACCACCTTACTGGGGTCATTTGACCCCAGTGCTCTTCCTGCCATGGCAGGGGGTCGGACTAGATGATCTGCTCAGGTCCCTTCCGACCCTAGAAACTATGAAACTATGAAACCTATATTTAAAATATGTAGCAAACCTTTGGTTAATAATAAGTAAACTTGAGTATGCATAAGGCTTCATAGTTTGTAGCATATCTCTGTCATTTTGCTTATTAAAGAGAAGCCTCTACGATAGGTAACTTATTATAGAGGCTTCTTCTTTCTGTGATTCACAAAAGTATTACTACAAGCCCCAGTGAAGAGATCTGGGTATATCTGTGATTGCCATGACAATAAAGGCAGCATCCTTAAACCGGGAGTAATGGCTCATCCCTTCAGGACCAGAGAGTGGAGGGAATAATCTGCTATTTAAGCCCTCGTGTTTCTCACCTGTCCTTGCTGGTTTAGGTGGGATGAAATGAGGAGAAGTCACAAGTAAAGTCCTGGAAGTGAAGGGTGAATGTTATGCAGGAAATTTCTCTGTCTGCACAGCAACCATTGTCTCCTCCATAGAAGATCTTATAGCCCAATCCTGAAAGCAATGATAAAAAGTAGGGGATGAAAATGAGATGTAGATATAATGCTTCTTGGAAAGCATTATCTCTCTGCGCTCTTTGACTGCCACAAATGGGTCCAGAGGTTGTAGGCTGACAGCCAGACTGTATGAGGCAGTGTGTGGGAAGGGAGCAGAGGGCTTATGTGTCTATCATTGCACAAGAAGTTCTGGCTTTTTTTCCCCTGCCCCTTACTCACTGGTTCTGCCACAGCTCCACTCCCCAACCCCAAGCAGCTGGTGGTGCAGAGGATAGACTGCAGCTCAGTGCAATGACTTGGGTTCATTTTGTTCTCCTTTGTGCATTTCTGTTTTTTGGGAATATGCATCCCATGAAAAGCAGACTAGGAAAAGAGTTATTAGGCCAGCCAGGCTTTTTCCATCAGCTAATGGAGGAGGGTTGCTCCCACCAATATGTTCTGGAGTACTTTGTCCAGTGGAGTTTTAAATTACAGTGTTAATGTGTCTTCTACCACTTCCTGTGGGAGACTGTGATGCATCAGGTCCATTAGCACTATTAGAGATTCCACACAGCAGAGCATTTGAAAAGTATTCACCTGAAAGGCAGTCTGCTGACAGCTGAGAAAGCTGTTACCTCCAAATTCCAGTGGGAAATGTGTTTTAGTAAAATGTGAATGACAGAAAGTGATAATGATCCTGGAGAAGATTGCCCTGTGCCCTTGGTAATGGAATGTCTACAGCAAAATGGAAATGAGAAATAACTTCACTAAATCTATTTTCCAGAGTTTGTTTTATAGATGAGTTATGCAGGATAGTTTCACTGGCCAAAGCAGTAAACTTAAGTCAAAGCATTGCTTGAGCTAATAATGCTGCTGTGCATAAAATCAGATTTAGGATAAAGGTGCTGATGATTCAGACTCAATGCATTGACTTCAGAGGGAGCAAAATTAGGTCCTTTACAAGTGGCCAGGCTGTGAATGGCTCTGACGCAGGTGCACAGGGAAAAGAGGGTACAAAGAGTTTCTGTTTGTATGGCCTGTGCATGAACCTCTCATACTTGTTTAGCTTTACAAATCAAAAGTCTTCACACTCAAGCACAAAGAAATTGTGGAAAAGTAAAGGTGAGAAATGTTGAAGGATATAAGCAGGTAAAAGCTGTGCCTTTGTTCCATTGTTTGCTTACTTTCTGCCTTTAAAATGAACTAATAGATCCACCTTTCTTTCACCCTCAGTGGGGGAAATCCTACATTGCTGAAGTCAGTGGTAGTCAGACCAGAGCCTATAATACAAAGTGACTTGAAAATTCAACTACCTTATTTGCCACTAGGGGCTGCTATAATAATATTTAGTCATTTATATTTTCAATGAGTTGTTCAAATAGTATCCAAATTGGACAAAAATATACATTGCTGCAGCTTTGGCACATGGCTTTTAGCACTCTCTGCCCAGTTATGACAGTAACACACACCCTGTTTGGAGGAAGGTGCTGCGTACAGCTGTGTATGGCAGAAGTGAGGAGTTCTCACCTGAGCTGAATTCCAGTTAGGCTTCTACCTGCAGAGCCAAGGACATGGATAAGTAAATCTCTCAAGAGCTAGGCATTCACTTCTGCCATAGGTTTTATTCTAAACCTCACTGGGAGGAGGGCAGTTGGTGAATTCTCATAAAAGATGAGGCACACAGGCAGCACTGTAAACTGGCCAGTGCAGAGCCTGCAAGCTCTTTACTGTTCTGTTGCTAAGCTCACTCTATCGCATAGAGAACAGGCAGTTTGGGAGAAATAAATTCAGAAACTCTCTTTACAGGCAGGGACTGCCAACTTACACTACAATGAGTGTGTTCCCTGGCTTAGGACTGCTAGTTTGTGTTTGCTAAACTTAGACCCAAGTGGAGCCCTCTTTTAGACTTAGGGGGATCATGTTCTGTCCTGGTGTGATATACGGCAGCATCTGTTGAAGTCAGTGGGATCTATGTCTGCTTATGCTGGACAGAAATTGGTTGTGGAAGACCAGAGTCTCACACATGATGGTGGTGCACAGGGGAGATCCCTGAGGATTGGAAGAGAGACAACATTGTGCCCATCTTCCAGAAGGGAAAGAGTGAGGACCCAGGCAACTATAGGCTAATCAGCCTAGCCTCCATCCCAGGGAAAATCCTGGAAAAACTCACTAGAGAATCTATGTGCAATACGCTTGTTGAGGGTAAGATTCTGAACAACAGCCAGCATGGCTTTGTCACGGGTAGGTCTTGTCTTACCAATCTCATCTACTTCTATGAACAGGTCTCTCACTACTTGGACATGGGAGAGAAGGTCAACATTGTATACCTAGACTTCCAAAAGGCTTTGGATCTAGTACCCCACAATATCCTTGTGGAAAAATTGGCAGATTGTTGGCTTAACTGCTCAACAGTTCAGTGGGTGGAAAACTGGATGCATGGTGGGACGCAGAGAGTTCTCATGAACGGATCTGTATCATCCTGGCGAGAAGTTGGCTAGTAGTGTCCCTTAGAGGTCTGTGGTTGGGCCGGTGCTTGTCAACATCTTTATCAATGATTTGGATGGGGGGGGTGAAAAACTCACTGGCCAAGTTTGTGGACGACACCAAGTTATGGGGGAGTGTGGTCATGCCAGAAGATAGGCTGCAGATACAGGTGGACCTGGTCAGGCTGGAGAGTTGGGCGGACCGGAACCAGATGAAGTTAAACACTCAGAAGTGTAAGGTGCTCCATCTGAGGACAAACAATCCTCAACATACCTACAGGCTCGGTGGTGATAATTTGACTTGCACCACGGCCGAAAGAGACCTGGGGATAGTGATCAACCATCACACGAACATGAGCTGGCAGCGCAATGCTGTGGCCAGCAGGGCAAACAACATGCTGGCATGCATTAACTGTTGCATCTCATGCAAAACTAAGGAAGTAATACTTCCACTGTACTCTGCACTGGTGAGACCACAGCTGGAGTACTGCATTAAGTTCTGGGTGCCGCACTTCAACAAAGACATGGAAAAACATATGGGTGACTTTTCTCTGGACCCTCTCAAGATCAGGGACTTGCAGGACAAGCCATACGAGGAGAGGCTGAGGGACTTGGGCCTCTTCAGCCTCCGGAAGAGAAGGCTGAGAGGGGACTTGGTAGCAGCTTACCACTACATCAGGGGAGTGTAGTACATCAAGAACTCAGTGAACAGTTGTTCACCAAGGCACCCCTGGGGAATACCAGAAACAATGGATACAAACTCCTGGAAGGCCACCTCAGGCTCAGTTCCAGGAAAAAGTCCTTCACGTTCAGGGTGTCCAGACCGTGGAATAAATTCCCTCCATTGGTGGTGCAGTCACCTACCTTGGAAATCTTCAAAAGGAGACTTGACGGTCACCTTGCTGGGTCACTTGACCCCAGTTGTCTTTTTCCTGCCTAGTGCAGGGGGACTGGACCCGATGATCTGCAAGGTCCCTTCCAGCCCCTAGCAATCTATGAATCTATGTCACAGACTACATGCTATTGATCATTGACTAAATAATGTGACTAAAAGTGTTCCAATGTCCTAGCAATGCTAGCACAAATTAAGATATTTGTTGGCAGACCCAACAGAGAGCCCAAGTCATTTAGGGAGCCCAGAGCTGAACAGCCCGCTCACCTCTAAAGGTGCTATCTCCAGGGCTGGTGCGAGGTATGCTGACAATGATACTAGTATGCAGACTCCATCTCTTCTGTGGATACAGAGGGGAATTCACCCTCAATGTCTACTAGGCTGGCACCTTTCACTAAAAGAATCAAAATGTGTTACACAAACTCCAGGTTGTTACTGATGAAAAAACCTATAGTCAAGCAGAAAAGATCCCTCGTGTGTATCTGTGAGGGTTCATGCATGCTATATATACACGAGTCGTTTTGTGGAGCAATATCACTTTTATTAGAACATTTTTTCCTGTAGTTATCCTTTGTCATGACATGGTTTTAATACCAAAATTAACTGTGCTGTTGCTTATTTTTCTTATACTTTGTCCTTTGAATACATCGTCATGGGTGAGAAGTCTGCATTGTTTTAGTATTTATTGGGCCTGGTTACTGCTTTATTTTTCATTATTAAAGCCAAGACTTTCAAAAGAGTTCACAAATGTTGAGGTCTCCATCATTTAGTACCAAAACTAAGACCATAACAGCCTGACTTTCACTGCTGCTGGGCACCCACAAATTGTCTTCATTTGGAATTTGCCTCTGAAAATTAGCTCATATGGTTTTCAAGTTGACCATCAAGAAAAAGATGCTACTGTTTGCCTCAACTGTTTCTCTAGCTGTGTTTTCAATTGACCTGTATGTTGCTACTGAAGATGCCTCTGGAAACAAGAATATTTCAAAATACATTCTGGATCTCATAATTTACAAATACTGAACATGTCTCTTTTCCAGTGATTGGAGGGTGGCTTTTTTTTTGAGTGAGTGACTTGTTACCTGAAAGGGGTCTGATTTTTTCTTTCAGAAAGTGTTAGGTACCTGCTGTCATATCAACAAATTGAAGCATTGCAAATTACTATTCCCTTTTCAGATCCTAAGTGTTTGGGTCTACAATATGGCTACATAGTTATAAGATAGGTGTATGCTTTTTAGGTTTGATTAAAAGAACTGTAACATAGGTATTTGTATATTTTTCTTTTTTTAAAAAGCACATAAGAAAATGAACAAATGGCTACAAAAGACCTTTCACCTGCCACAAATATATCTCCCTCAGTCCATTAGCCAATGTTATTATATCCAGCCTGTTCCATTGCTTGAGAACCTGGCAAACTGTTTAGGATTCATAGCATACACGAAAGTCAGCAGATCTGTGCTGAGTCAGAGCAGGAAGGGAAATGAGTTCTAGCTGAGGAACAAACACATTTCAAAGAAGGGGTAAGTTCAGCTGATGAATATTATGGCTACATAGTTTCACTGTATATATAACTGCATATGTCAGGATTTGCCAGCTCCTTGTAAGTCATTATCTTAGGAAACAGCATGCCCATTCTTAGGGTGTTTCCTGGTTTGATTTAGGGACAAAGCAATGGAGGCTGGTTCCTAAAAATCTTTGGATTCCT